ACCTGGATGTGTATATAGTATTTGTTGTTTTTGGGGCAGTCTTTAGTAGTATGTTGTTGTATGTGGGCAGTCTTGAATTGTTCATGTGGAGAAGAAGAAGATGAAAGTTGTTGTTTTTCTCTTGGGTTTTGCCAAAGAGAGGATTTGTACTTTAGTTGAATAAACCTTAACTACTTTATATTTTTCAAGGGGAAGAGAGAAGAGGAAAGGAGGAAAACAGACTGTAATATGGTGATGAACTTGTATTTTTATTTAATGATGTAAAATTCCAATTATGGATATTATGCAATAGCTATAAACTTGTGCTGCTTTTTCTTTTTGTTTTGTAGCTTAAATGGAGGCTATGGACAATGAAATAGTAGTAGTAGTAATTATGGGGACATGCAATGCAGGTCATTATGATGAGTGTTTTATTATCTCTTAAGCATGTTTGTCTGGCTTAATGATTATGGCAATGAGAGCTTTGTGCTGAAAGTGAGTGAGCAATTTCATGTTTCCTATTGTATGTGGAGTGAATGGGTCATTATTGCACAATTGCATGGCTTTGAATTGTGATGGGTCTCATTCTTTATTTACACTAGTATTCGATCATGTGCATTTGCACAGATGTAAATAAATTATTGTAAGTTATTTGTATGCATATAATTATTAATTATTTTTCTTTCACATTTTTTGCTGGCCAAATTTACAATTAAAGGAGTTTGAACATTTTTTTTTTTTAAATTGCGTTTATCTGGTTGGATGCAATGTATATTTTGGTACGTCTTTTTTTGTGAATTATTTATTATTTATTTAAGAATTTCAAATAAGTTTTTATTTAAAAAAAATAATTTAAATGTAACCACGATAATAATATCTAATCACACATTATATGGTCAACTGTCAGTAATCAAAAGTTTAAAATGAATTTTGTAATTTTGAAGTAATTAGTGTGGATTATTTGATAAATGAAAGATTAAATACATCAAAAGTAACGAGTTTTTTTTAAAGAAAAATGGTTAAATTGCCACATAGGTAAAATTAAATAAATTTAAGAGAGAGTTGTTTCAAAAAAA